TTCCCTTCGCTTCTTCCTACACTTTCCGAAACTCAGGGACGGCGTAGAAACTTCACAAAAATTGCCCACTGAAAGAAACTGGGTTTAAGCTCTTCCCTTTCTTTCCTTGCATTCTTTGGCATTTTCAGATCTCACCGAATGCGAACTCCACTCCCGGCAAGATGAAGTTAGCCTGCATTTTCCTTATTTTCCTGTTTCAAGACTGTTTTCTGTTGAGGAGGGTTCTCGCTCAGGGAACAGAAATATCCAGCAGAGTAATAGCCTTCCAAGGTAAGAATATGTTTCCGTGGTTCTAGTTTCTGGAAAGATGAAGCTGTAAATGGTAACCCACCTGTACCTTTGCTGTACTGTTTCAGTGCTGCTTTTGATGGTAGAGTTTTATTTAAGCTTTTCCTTTTTTCTGACTTTTACAAACAGAAAAATTAGGTGGAGTGTAGCAATATTCATCCCACCATGATATAAAAAAAATGATATCCATGGTGCGGATTTTTGGGAGGGGCAGAGGGCTTTCTGTGTCACACTGTAATGTAAATGAGAGTTGTATATAAAGAAAATGTTTTGGTAGGCATTCCAAAATACGTGCAATATGTGTGCCTTGCAAGATTTTCATTGCAACAACTGATTGAAGAGTCACAGCAAGTAGTTATAATGCTACTTTATGCTGAAGCAATAGGCACAAGTGATATGCAAAAGAAAGAGCATTATGTTGATAGAAGGAAAAACCGTCTCTTGAAAATTAATGCAGAAAAGTGACAGTTTTCAGTTGTGGATAGTAAAGTGAAAAGGGGAAGGAGAAAAATGTTTCTATTCTTGTTGGAAATTAAAACGTCCCAAATTTAAAGTCAAACGAGTAGAGATAATTAAGAAGCACATTTTTCTATATGTATATATTTTTTAACATAGCCAATGTGTAGTGTATCCTATTAGAGTAACCACGGCCAATTTTCATCTCAGAAATCAACTTTTCCAGTATAGGCTTGGAATGTGTGGTTTTTACCTGCTGATTTTGAAGGCTGTGAATGTTGTGATCTCATTGTAATAGACTGTCCATTTATACAAACTTAATCTTAAATGCATAGGGTTTTGCCATGCTGGGAGGGCAGTCAGCAGATATAATCCCAGTTTTATCCTCCTTTGGTAGGTCTCTACCCATATTAACATCCACATAAGTCTAGTGATCATGTCAGTTATGTTTGGTGTTGGAGGTGAAGTTACATTCTCTTAATTATATAAATTCCTTATTGCCTGCATATGTGGATATATTCACTTGCAAACATAGTAATAGATTATGTAGTGATTCTTCTACTAGTTCTCTGAGGGTGGAGTAAGGCTAAGAGACCCTGATTTGTCTAGGCCACCAAGTGACTTCAGAGCAAAAACAAGCCTATATAATAAGTTGCTGAGGTTGCAATCCAAAATAAATTGATTGATGAGTAAGCCCCAGTGAACAAAGTAGGTCTTAGTTTTGAATAAACCTAGTGTTCTTCTATGACAACTTCCTTCCATATATCCTGAGGCATTGCAACCTTTCTGATGTATCTTGTAATATAAACATGTTAATATTTTATTTCTAAATTGCCCATTTCTGAATTTTAACAGATTGCCCGGTGGATTTGTTTTTTGTCCTGGATACCTCTGAGAGCGTTTCCTTAAGGGTAAAGCCTTTGGGTAAAGCCAACGTTGACAAGATCAAAGCATTCACTAATCAATTCATTGATAAATTAAATGACAGGTACTTATTGTATAATCAGAGATTTCTTGAATGTGGAAGTAATTTAAAAAAATGTTGTTGACTTGGAAAGCTCTTTCTCTTGGCCACCCTGCCCTTCTTTCTTTCTCTCTCCCTCTCTCTCTTCCACCCCCAATACACACACACACACACACACACACACACACACAGAAGAGATAGTGATTTCCAGGGAGGCCATCTTGAAAATAAAAATGGGCCTACAATGTCTGGACAGCCAGAGGCTCCTGAAGCCTGCATAGAACTGCAAAGAAGCTTTTGTGTGGATGTTAATATTTTCAGATGATTGCTAAAGGATCTGACATTTTCCTAAGAATTAGAATAAGGCAGTATTTCTGCATTCGTTCTTGCACTCTAATTAGCAAGTGATAGTATTCCTTTTAAAAATGTTTCTTCTAAAAGTTCCCTAGTTATTAGTTTCCATTTATCTTACAGAGTTTGCTGTTCCCACAGATTCATAAGAAACACACAAACATTTTTTTCACATATTACTGGAGCCACTCTTGTTACTTTTTGCTACTCCTGGTGTAGTTCCTTTCTGAACTAGAAAATGTTCAAGGAAGCTGAATTTTTAAGTGTCAGGCTGCAGCAATAGAAACAATTAAAACAGGGCAACTGTAGTAGAAATATCACATTCAATATATTTTAAAATAGAATCCGGTTTTGGATTTGGCCAAATCCTGACTCCACAAGCCTAACTAGTTTATTATTTATTTATTTCAGTCTCTGAGTGGCCCACATAATATTAAAATGCAATAAAGACAGCCCATAATAAATTATTACTGCTTCATGAGAAGAAGCAGTCTCCCTCCAAAGTGTTAAAGACTGCATCTGGACCTTTCAGAACTTTGTGGACAATTTTGATGCTTCCTTGGGCTGAATAAAGGCACTATGTCTACAAAACATTGCTCCTGTGTTTTCATTTCATTGTTTTAGTGTCAATGTAAAGGAGGGAAGGAAAGGAAAGTGCTGAACAGCTAAAGGAGGCAGACCAGTTCTGGGGAGCACCCAGATAGAGCAACCAGAGGCAAAGGTGATGGTAGGTGCCCTTCAGATATTCCTCTGGCGGCTATGGAAGAGACTCAGAACTTTGGCCAGAGAAGAGGCAGAACATGTTATGGGACCATTTTCAGATGAAGAAGATCTGAACTATGCTTTCTGCCAGTGTGAAGAAAACCTCTGAATAGGATCAAGTAATTGAATCACTCTACTACCATCAGTCTGGTTCTACGCTGCAAAAGCTAGAAAGTATCTTGTTTGCTAAGACTACAGAAATCAAGCAAAGTCTTATTTTTCCTCAGGAAGCAGAGGTCACAAAATAGATGCTAGTAGCACTTGATGGAGCCTGTAGTCCTGAAATCACACACTATTGTGATGACCAATCTCAGCAGAGGCTCCCTCTATGGGCTCAGCTGCAGTGGGCAGAATCATATATGGAATAGGCAGGTGACACTTGTGCCTATCTGTGACTTGCCTTGCAGTGGTGGGAATAAAATTGGCCGTTAGCTGGTTTTGTAATTGCTCATGAAGGAAAGATCATGCTGATGATGGGGTATATGTTGCCTGTAAACATCACATCATTGCCAATGTTCTGCTTCATTGTAGAGCCTCAGAAGCTGAGAAAAGAAGTTTCTTCACTTGCAGAATGATTGCTGGAAGCCACTTTCACTACAGCACTGAAAATACAGTATAGGCTGCTGTTGGATAACCAACAGACTACAGCATCACGTAGCACCATCTGATTTGGAAAGCAGAACTGAGGAGGTGCCTCCTGTGCCCTAAATACATGCCAGTACATCCCTCCCTGTGACACAAATCGATCCAGTTCTATGACTTTACATCCATATGAAGGCTTCTGGCTTTCTGCAAGGGTATTCTCCATCTGTACTGTCCCTGATGCCTCTCACTTTCTCATTTTCCTCAGATCCCTCTTTACTAGGAAGCTATTGAAACAAGTAATACTTCACTATAACTAAGGCAAAATACATGTCTAGGAAAAAAAAGGGTACTGTACATTCTTCCCATTCACCCCCTCCCTCTTTTTTTTATAGATACTATCGGTGTGACCGGAACCTAGTGTGGAATGCAGGTGCCTTACATTACAGTGATGAAGTGGTGCTGATCAAGAAACTTACCCGTATGCCCAGTGGGCGACCAGACTTAAAGAACAGTGTGTCCTCAGTAGAATCTATTGGGAAAGGCACCTATACCGACTGTGCTATCAAGGCAGGGCTTGAAGAACTACTCATAGGGTAAGTGGGAACCATAGTTTCTCATTGCACCCACAGGAAGAAGGAAGAAGGTGTGTGGAGGTTCACCCCAGATGCTCTGGAGGGTCAGAGACCTTAGTCACTGCTACCATCACTGCCAAACCCTAGAGGCACGGCAACTATTGTAAACAAGGAACTTTAGAGAGAATTCCAACTGTAATCTTGCAAAACAAAAAACCATAGTTCTGAATTTGAAAGTGTGCTTTTCCTTCTGGCTGTGTGGAGAAAAGTTTGGAATACTTTGCTTAGTATTTGTTATACAAAACTTTTTATTTTTTATCAGTGCCAGTTCTAATGTTTTTAATGCACTTCTGTCCCCTTCACTCTTACACACTATAGATATCTACACGTCCTTTGGAAACGTCAAAAGCATTTGACCCTAGATGATCCTAAGAGGAAGTCCACTAAAGGATCATTGGGGGCAGGCCTGGTCAAGCACAGCCTATACCGAGATCAGCTATTTGGGAGAGGGAGGGGGACCAATGCAGGAGAGGCAGCTGCTTTGCACATTTCCACAAAGCTTTTGCAGGAGCTTAAACCGAGTGTTTACAATAATGTGACATGTTTCAAGGTGAGCAGCAAGATGCCTCTGCATCCATAATACTCATCTCTAGCAAGATGAGAGTCACTTTGCATCATTAGGATGTTTGTAAGTACAACCAATCCATAAATAGAAATAATCACATACAGTAGATATTTTCCATCAAATTTGTACTCTTGCTGTTTTTATATGGAAGATCCAGGCAATCTTTCATGGGGGCAGCAGTTCTTATGTGAACTTTTATATGTGAGTCAGAGTGAAATGGACTCTTTCTCTATAAAAGTGGAAATATCAATGTCCTGGGTGAAATGTTCCATCTCTGCATGTACCTGTTTATTCACAAATTAAATATTTGTCCTTGGTCTAGCATATCTTTCTTAGTGATTTGGCTTTCTTGTATTTCAGGGAGAGGATTCTATGCCTGTTTTCTATTTAAACCAGAACAAAATTGTGCATAATTTAACAAAAAGTTGTCATTTTTCAAAAGTTGTAAGAAGTATCAGGTGTGAATAAAATTATTACAGATACTACTATACATATATGTTGTTATATGGAAAATTGGAGGAGAAAACTCCCAGAGATTTAAAATATCTCTGTTAATTTAAGACTGGAAATAAATGACTGTCACTCATTAGGTGTCTTTATGCAAACTAGACTTTGCCTCAGCCTCCTATCTGTAATAGTGCTGATCATACATACAAAGTGGTTGTAACTCTGAGATTACAATAGAATGAAGCACTGTATCAATACAAAGTATTGCTTTATCTGCATGTACTTTTGCTACTGAGTACTGGAATACCTAGGTAACAACTATTCCTCATGTTGCAAAATCAAATTAAGATGGCATTCAAGTAGATTTTTAAATGTGAAGTCTACTATGTCTTTTTCAAAGCTACTTAAAAATGTTTCACTCTGAGACTTCAGTCTCTGTACTGGGTATCACATGACTTCTGAAGGTTGCATTCTCCAGGGCAAACACAGTAGGGATCCACTTTAATCCATGAATTGACCCTAGGCTTTCCAAACTAGGCCTTTTTTACCAGGTAGAAGCCCTTTTAGCCTGTTCTTAAGACTCCACTGATGTATCAGCAGTTATTATCATGGATCATCATGATGATTAGATTTTTATCCCACTTTTTTCATATACACACACACACACACACACACACATATACACACACAGTGTGTGTGTGTGTATCAACTGAAGGTGGCATATTACAATAGTACAACAGACAAATACTCCAGGGCAACCATTTAGGATAATGATGTGATGAAGCTGTACACTTATATAACATGGTTTGTTCTTTATTAGCTGATTTTAATTTTTTCAGAGGATCTCATCATAGAGAAAATAAGTACCTTATTGTGGTGACAGATGGACATCCTTTAGAAGGTTACAAAGAGCCTTGTGGGGGACTGGAAGATGCTGCCAATGAAGCAAAACATCAGGGGATCAAAGTGTTCTCTGTTGCTGTATCTCCAGACCATCTGGTATGAAATGTGCACACATGGATAATATTGGAGTAATCACTGTCAATAAATAGAGGAGATCAATCCAGGTCAGATCTTACTTAGGGGATGTGCTTGATCCTATGATTTTGCATATTCTGTGACCAGCAACAGAGGTGGCACTCTTTGCTCTAAACCTTGAATGTAATAATCAGAGTTACTGCTCTCTTTGTACAGCACTTCCTAAAAATATGTTGGTTCTAATTTATGCTGGGTGAAAAAAGATAAACCCAAATTGACTGATTTTAAAGGTGCAGTATGTCATATACCTAATTATGCCAGGTTAGATAAAGTACGTGTGCTAAAATGAATACAGCCTTGTACAATCTTTAAAAGAATCACTGACAATTCTTATTATTTGGCTGCTCAGATATTTCAGTGTCTAGCAGATCTTCATGGGAAAATATTGATAGCTGTTACAATGAGTACACATATGTTAGAGACTAAAGTCAGCTGCCAGTGCCTCTCCTCCCCTGCAGGAGGAGGTCAGTCTGTTTCCTGGTATGTTACATGGGTAACTATAATCAATCTACATCAACATGGATGAGTGGGATTGTATTTGGATCTTCATGTGAAGGTTGCAGTACCAACAGTCAGTGCAGCAATTAGATCAAGTTCATCACTGAATTCACATGAAGTTAACATTGGAGTGAAAACATAGTTCTGATTTATGTTTATTTCATCCTAGGAATCCAGATTAAATGTGATTGCTACAGACCATGAATATCGTCGCAATTTCACAGCAACTGAACCACAAAGTGATATTCCTAGAACAATTGACACCATCATTGAAATGATTGTGAGTCTAGTCTTTCTTTTCTATTTACTAGATCTACTTGAAAGGAAGACTAGTCTTTTCCCTAAATAATTTGCTGAGAATACAGTAATGGAGACTCAAGTAGATGAGTTTTCTTCTGCCTAATTTTGCTTTTCTGTGACAACAATTTTAAATTTAGAGACATTTTCCTGTTCAATAAATATATCATACATTGGATAGACTATCTTGATTATTTCTGCTCATCTGCTTCCTTATTCTTTCTTTCAGAAAGATAATGTGGAAGATGTGGTAAGTTTTTTCAGTGCCATTTTCCTAATTCAAGAATCATTTCTATCTTTATGAATTTTCTAATTTCTTATCACTGTTTCTTTTTTAGTAAACCTTGAGTTAATCATGCCAATATTAATCTAAAATCCAGGACTCTTTCCTATTGCCTGTGACCTAGGAGAAGGAAACAGCAAAATGTTTTTCTCCCATAGAGTAGAAGAAAGAACCATATCTTGTGCCAGATTTGCAGCCCTCTGCTCAGATTACAAAGGAGGATTCAAAATCTTAGTAACAGAGAAAGTAATCTACTCGGAACTTAGGACAGAATAGAATAATCTTTGATAACTGATGATAAACTCTGCAGAGGCATTGCAAAAATGGAAATGCTTGACCAAGAACTGAAATAACTTCTTAAAAGCTTATTTTATAAAAACTGGCATTATTGGCAAGCCAGTGTTTATAATCCCCAACTATTTTTCTGTTTGTTTGTTTTTTCTGAGTAAGTATAAACATTATTCTGTAGTTACTTATGCATAACCAGCTGCCATTCAGTAAAACATTTAAGCACGAATGCTCTTGGTCCACGTGATCCAGTCCAGACAGGGCTTGTACAGTTTTCCACTGAAAAGCATTCCCTTTGCTGCTGGATCACTTTGATCCAGCTTCAGCCTTCCACTGCAGTAGGCTGGTCCCAGAATGGAGGCTCCAGCATGAGGACTTGTACTCAGTAACTCAAAAGTGGGCCATCCTGGGGCTGAGCCCCAGGGGCTGAGTGGACGATCCTCTAGTGTGTCTCCTGCTCTAAAGTGTCTGATTCACCTTCGGGCTTGACCCAATCTGATGCATTCCCCTTTTTAAGTGCTTGTTGTAGGTGATCAAATGTTTTCATCCTCAAGCAGAAAATAATGGGGACATAGTTGAACCTCCAGGGGCTTTCCTTATCATGCCCGAGACATGCAAATTGAGACATCCTGTGTCAACATAGACAATATCTGAAGAGAAAAGTCTGGAGCAAGTAGCAAGGCATTTTGGTGTGGTTATGCCGTTTTCTGTGTTTGCTCACTGAAATAAGTCCACACAATGACATTATTCTTATAACAGAATTTAATTTATCACATTTTTAGGTATATCCAAACAACTTAACCTTGTTGGGGGTTTTTTAAGGACCTATTCAGATGGACAGCAAACTAATCTAGAAGCTCCATCCAATTGCATTACATCCTCTGGCATAGCCTCAGTCCCTGCTAGAACTGACCAGTCATTCATTGCATGGGAAACTGCTTCCCAATTATTCTAGCTTGTTACAGAGGAAGGGAGGAATTGCTTTTATGCTAGAGCAAAAGAGCCATTTACTCATTCTGTAAAAGTGTAAACTGTGGTACCTCTTGCTTAACTTTTAATGGTGTCCTTTTTTCTGCCAACAGTGCTGTTCCTATGAATGCCAGGTGAGTGTTATTTTCCTGACTGCTTAGCAGTATATGAAATCTTGCCTTTTGCATTCCTCTGCTCTAATCCCAATTTTTTGTTGTTGTTTCTTAGCCTCCTCGAGGACCCCCAGGACAAATAGGGGACCCAGGAGATGAGGTTTGTATTTTCCTCAGTTTATCAATTCTGTAAGGCTACATTTAGATAGACTGCCAAGTATCTAGTAGGCATTATTGTCACCTGGGAAATATTCAGACAGTGGAAAGAGGTGATTTATAGGGGCAAGAAGATCAGACATTTGCAAGCTGCTCCCAGCTGTCTGCCATGGTTTCATGTCAGCAGCCCTTTGATTCTTTTTTCTGTTGATGATGAAACCCAGGTCAAGAAATGTGATAACTGTTGCCATTCAGGACTTAATTCTGAATGTGTGAGCCAGCCTGATATAACCTGGGTGGTGTACAGTTAATCCAACCCAGCTGTGCTCATTTGGATCCTCAATTCAGTAGCTAGATTTGGGGGGAAGGGAGTATTGAGTCACCTCAAGACTTTTTTTTCCCATTTGCCTCAAGTTGTCATCCTTTTGTTTCATCACCCTCAGATCCTTATTAAACCAGGGAGTCAACTTGGCTAGTAAAAAAGAAGACTTCTCCCCTGATAGAAGAAGTCTGGGATATTTCAACACTAGCCTCAAGAACATCATAGCTAGCTCAGAACAAGATCCAGCTAGTCAGTGACATCCCTGTTTGGCTCCAGCAACTTGCACTCAAAACTGAGGTCAGGCCACTGAGATGGAGTTCTCAGAGACTATTACCAATCTATCTCCCCACCCTCCAAAGTGTTCTGTGACACTGTTGAGAGCTAAGAGAGGTTAATTCCTGTCTGTTCCCTCAGCCAGAACTCTATGATCTGAGCCAGACCAACATTTTCATTCAAAATTTCACTTGAGATGTCTTATGACCAAATGGCTTGCATTCAAGAATAGGACTTTTGGACTGAAGGGGCTTTCTTCTGTCACTTTGACTGACCTGGTTAGATTGCAACCTGAAAAGAAGTGAGTCCTCCTTTCCCTAGAATGAGTAGCGTGGTGCCTTCTCCAGTGTGCACTTCTGTCAGTAATAAACCTTCATTCCAAAGCCTTTTCCTCTCCCTCTTCCTTTTGACACAGACCTCAGCAGCTGTACAGTGCTCGCTTTCACTCTTCTTTGCATATAGACATAGCCATGCAAACTTTTCCATACCAGACTGATTTTGGGTTTTGGGTTGCCATTACTGCTTTCTGCCTGTTTCTGTACTTGCTAACTCACATGTATAGAGCATTTCCGGGTGGGGGGGTGGACTTTCTCATTTTGTAGAGTTTGTGAGCCTTTTGTAACTATTTATTGTTAGCTACTGTAGAAACATTAAGTGAAAAGTGGAAAGGTAGGTTAAAAATTAATGCTATATATATTACAATATTTGGCATTTGCCCAATACTAAAAGGCAGCCTTTGAAAATATCCTTTGGATAATGGCAAGAACATTCATAACATGACTCCTTTTCTTCAGTTCTTTTCAAAAGCTAAATTGCATTTATTTTATTTGAAATGTAGAATTAAATAAAAACTGGAAATAGAATCGAATGCTCATTGATATTTTGTTCCAGGGAGAAAGGGGGAGACCTGGCTTGCCAGGAGAAAAAGGAGATGCTGGAGATCCCGTAAGTAGAAAATATATTTGACCTTGCATGGAAGATACTCAAGTGAAGTAAAACCTTACGTAATACTGAATTATTATAATGCATATTCTGAGTAAATATGGGGTACTTTTCTTTTAGTCGGAGGGCTACATTCCTCCTAAGGAACATTGGATTTATGTTCCAGAACTGTATGGGATTACAACCCAAAGGGGGCAGGAGCAGAGCCTGCTCTGCAGAACCCCACCCCAAAGATACCTTGAAAGAGCAGCTCCCTGGTAACCTGGTTTCCTGCAGCCTTCCGCTTTCCTGGCAGAAAAGGCAAGGGTAAGCAGAGACTTGGGAACCATCGCTTTCAGAGGAACGAGCTCTGGAAGAGGAGCCCTGGTGGATTAGATGGAGAGCTGTGTCCAACCAGTGGGCCAGAGGTGGTTCTGTGAAGGCATCCTTGAATTTCCTAGAAAGAGATCAGTTATGGTTTTCAGTTTTGTGGATCAGTCAGTTACAATTGTCCTACCTCGATATGCTTTAGCAGTGATGAAATAAAGTGGCTAAGATGCAGGATCTTTGATTTTTGTTTTTCTGTTTCTGCTGGCCACAGGTTATTGTTTTCCACATGAATGGTAATTAAGCACACGGTGTGGGTGCACTGTAACATTTATCTGAGTCTCATTGACTTGATTAGATGCAAATTTTAATGCAAACAAATCTCCATCTAGAAACAAGGTTTTTTGTGTGTGTGATGGGTGGAAGATGAGCAAAGCTGGATTAGAACCACAAACCATTTAGCTGGCATTTTTAATCCTTTTTTTTCTGTTAGTGGCTAATTTATTTTTATATGTTTATAACTTTGGCTCTTTTTCTTTTTTGTCTGCCAAAACATTTTTGCCCACCAGTGAATTTTGCACATCAGTTGGTTATGTCTGATTCATTTCTTTCTAAGTCTCTCTTGCCCTCTACAATGCTCTGATATTTTCCATATATAAAGACTTGTGGGATACGTTAATCAGTTTTGCAGGTACACCATCTGCAGGTCAGCATCTTCCTGCAATTGCAAATTGCCAATGAAGTTTCAGGAGGGGTGAGATTCAGCCTGTTTCCGAGAAATTACCCATTCATTCTGTTTGGCATCCAGTGATTATTTCCCAAATCATCACATTTGGTATTAGGTCCAGTGTTTGGTAGAATTTAATGCCCAACTATAATATAATAGAACTATAGTCTTCAGAGGGACACTTCTATAATCTTCAAGGTGGATACTTGGGTCGGGAGAAACCACATCTCTTTATATATATTGACTGATAATGCATTTGTCAGTGAAGTGTTTTAATTTCCCAAGCAGAAAGCCTTAATTTGAAATTCTGGAGGCCCTGAGGTAGGGTGAAATTCCACTGAATTCAGAAGAGCGTACTTCTGAATAGACATGTGTAAGATTGCATTATTAAAGAAACAAGATTGGATCCAGCCATGAGTCCTTTCTACATAGGAATATGTCTGAATCCAACTCTATCAATCTGTTAAGATACATATACAAATATGCTTTCAGATGTGTGTATAGGAAAGCAAGGATGGATTTCAAATCAAAGGACTTAAATGTTTTAAACATATTGTATGCAATTGTCAAAATCCTAGTAGACAGAAAACTCTGGATGAAATTCTTTTCCTTACAATCTTGAGAGAATTTTCCAAACAAGAATCCAGATCTGAGTGCAATGGGATTTATTGCTTTGAATGTTATTCTCTACCCTAGGGAAAGCAAGGTGACCCAGGACCTATTGGGTACCAAGGAATGAAGGCAAGTATAAGTTCCTTTATTGTTTTCTTGGCATTACTTTTTTTCTCATAATTTTATTTATAATACATCTGACCTTTTTTTTTGCTTCTCATTTTTAGGGAGAAAAGGGTGGCCGAGGGGACAAGGTGAGTTGTGTTGATTAACAGTGCTGCAAAAGGAGTCTGTGTTGAATTATTGGAAAAACTCCAAAATTCATGTCAAGGTATACCATTATTAGGGCCGGTCAAAATGTCATAAGATTTTGGCTTTGATCTAGATGGATGTTGTAAACCAAATAGGGGATGGGGAAGAGAAGCTGGCTTGTGGTTGAAGCTGCAAAGTCTGTATACTCTTAGAATCTTAACTCATTTCATATCATTTTAAACCATCACAACTGACTGGGTTTGCATATCAAGCCAAAAATAAATCAACAGCATTATGATTTAATATGTCATATGAATCTGGTCTGTAACTGAAAGTATCTCAAAAATCATTTAGCCCCTCCCTTCTAACTCCCTTTATAGAATCTACAGTAGCACTCTAATAATTGCCTGCTATGTTTTTCCTGATGTGTGGTTAAAGCCTTCCTACTTCTTGAGATCCTGTTTCTTTGGAGCAAATAAAATAAACATGTCCTATGATCAGGTTGAAAGTCAAGTATGTTAAAATTGCTTCTTAATTGTCTCCTCTCCAAAGGGAGAAAAGGATAAAACAGATTTAAATTAATTAGATTCTACTTGGAATTGTTTGGATTTGAGATTCCCACTAGAATTGTTGGACAAAGAAACAAACCTTGGCTACTATTTTGCACATTTCTCCTGTTACTCATGGGGAGGGTAGTCCCGCCTAGTCTGACCATTGGAAAGTTAGGCAGCTAATTTTCTTTGCCCTTTGTCAGAGTAAGGACGGGGAAATTATGGTTCAGATAAGATTTAGGATATTTTGCAAAATTGTATACATGATTTTTTTAAATGAAAAGGCTGATTCTCTTCAGTTAAAAATGACATACCGTTTGTCCCTAGGATATTGTGTTAGGGCATGGTACAGCCACTGTATTTTGCTGACTATAACATCAGTGTCCAGAGATGATCTAGAAGATCATGTCTAACATCTTAAATTCCATAGTGGGGTATAAAAGGAGAACAAGAAACACAACCAATACCACTTCCCCTGCCCTTTTCCATTTAGCCCAAATAAGTAGTTGTACATCATTCTAAATCTTCTTCTCTCATCTACAGGGCTCAAGAGGTGCAAAAGGAGGCAAGGTATGTGATTTTGTTTGGGGGATGATACCAATATCTTTCTGAGAGCTAATTGGAATATGTATTATACATGTGGCTTTTTTTTTTCCTGTTATAGGGAGAGAAGGGCAAGCGTGGCATCGATGGCATTGATGGCAGGAAGGTATGTTTGATATTTGCATGCAAAGGTACAGTCTCCCTCCTTATGCCTTAAAAAAAGCTGCATTAAAATGGTTGCAATTGGACCTAAAGCATTGCCTTAAGAAAGTGAATTCAGGCATAGCAATAGTCTAGTGCTCTGATGACTCAGAATAACTTGGTATAGTAGAATGAGTGAGAATTCATTTAAGTCTAATATAACCTGTATCAGCTAAAACCTTTTCAGAAGGAACTAAGGGAGGAGAAACTCCACTACATAGCAAAGGCAATTCCTTCCACTAGCCTTATAGAGATAACTTTACAGAAGCTTCATTTAAAAATTCTCGTCTTCTATCTGCTATCACCTAATGATAAAAGGAAAAAGGAAATAATTCCAAAGGATTCATAATAATTCATGTGATTCATTTTCTTTATTCACAGGGTGAACAAGGATATCATGGGCTACCAGGATGCAAAGGATCTCCTGGGTTTGATGTACGTTGGTGCAACAGATTACACATCTATCCATTCTGGCTGCTAGCAAGCAACCTCAGAGTGCAGTGATGGAAGCAAATCTGTAAATATAGGTAGTCACAAAGTGCAGATTCTCAAAGATGGAAGAAAAAGTATAGTGTAGAGATAGATGGAAAACAATATGGAGAAATTCAGCCCGGTCTGATGGGGATTATTGTAATGTACCAAATATGTATAACATATTGTCATTAGTTACCTAAATTGATCACTGCTTGATTTCCATCAGGGCTTACAAGGACCTCCTGGACAAAAAGGGGATTCTGGTTCTTATGGACCCAAAGGGATAAAGGTTAGCCATAATTCATTGTTTTCTTGTTATGACTTGGATACTACGCTTTTTGTGATGTCTAGGTATCAGTGCCATGATAAATTTTGATACTAGTTGAATATGGCATGGCATTATTCTTATAGCACAAGGTTAGGGGAGCAGCCAAAGAGGATCCAACATTTCTAACCATTGTTTTTACTAGGATTTTGTTCATTAAATGATTGCCTTAAATGATCACTTTATTGTCCACTGCACACATCAGAACTGTTTTCCATACTCAAGATAATTGTATTGCAATCATTTATGGTGCATCCATTTATGGCGCATAGACACTACCAGCCACACAGGAACATTTCAATTATCACAACACTCCAAGGGTAACTTTAAACAATTTCACTAAAGATTTCCATTTTCCCCTTTGGGGGATATTCTTGAAATGTCACCGTTAATCTGTTTAAAACAGATGTCCTAAAACAAAGATTTAAAATTACATAAAATATCATGATTACATATGAATCAACTGAAAAATACCCAATATAAATATTGGCCCAGTAGTTGCATGTCAGGATGTAACATACATACATGCATACATGTATAAGAGAACTACCCACGTTTTAGAACTATCGATGGGTTAAGTGTTTCATTCACACTCCAATTCATCTTTTTCCTCAAAAATCTTTTTTTTCCCTCTCACTGCATTTATGTTAGTCCTTCTGGGTATTCACAAATTATAACTGTTACCAAGTACAATGAATTTACAAGATATGATATTATCAAGTATACCTATGGGACACTGTTAGGAGAAGATGCAGCAGGGAGAAATTTACAGGTGGAAGTAGGCAGCTCACCTAGGGGAGTTTGGGAAGAGAGGATCTCTGCTTCTCCGAAGGACTAGTGGGCAGGAAGGAATGGAATTAATTATGCAGGCAGAAAATTAAACTAAAAAAGAAGGGGGAAATGGCTTTGGTGTAGATCCTTGGCAAAAGCAGACACTCATGGTTACCAAGATAGAAATTAAATTATCAAGATCCGCAGCACTGCAAATCATCAAAAGACAGAAATGTAAATTGTAAAAAGTTACGCTAAAAATAGCATGGGAACTGTGCCTATGGGTGGGTATAATGAACCTAAAGAGAAAAGCTTATGAAATGTTGAAGAAAGGAAGATGACCCATCCCCCAGACTGAAGAGCACGTTAATGGCTTTGGAAAAGTTAAGAGCTATTACTCCTGACTCCATTCTTCTGATTCTGAATGATTTGGCCAGTAGAGAGTTCTGGCTTCAGTGGAATAGTGGTCAGTTTGTCAGCAGAGTACCAGCATCAGTGAGACACTAACAGATTTCTGGGCATTCAGACATCACCTCTATGTCTCAAAGTCAAGCGACTTTCTCTAATTGCAAAATGTTACCCATATTTTGTTATTCTCCTGGAGCAGCTCACTGTGAACAATGGAGAAAACTAGAATGTTAACTAGGACTACCAAATCTGGATTGCAAAAATCCAGTTTTCTGCCTCTCATCTAGTGGACTTTTGGATTTTTGTAACCTAGCCAGATCTGGTAGACCTAAAGTTAACATAGCTGTAATTAGGTGGCAGTCTTCTCATGCATTAGGGAAAGAGAGAGTTGTGCCCTTTTAAGCTCAGGCTTTATTATGTGTAGAAAGTGTTTTGTAAAAATGAAATTTGCATGCAAGTCCAGAGAGTCCAAGGGAGCAGTTTTAGTAATTTATTGTAATTTAATAAATTTTAGAATTGAAGAGGAGAGGGAACCAAATCAGCAACTTATTCATTCCCAATAAGTAATATTAGATCACAAAGTTTTCTTAGCAACATTGTTTTTACAGCAGAAATGTAGGGAAAAGACATGGCACTGAAGAGATTTTCCTATATATGTAAAAATTAAAAGCATAATAGGATTTTTAAAATACTATATAAAAATGGTCTGTATTTGAAAGAACAGGAAATCCTGCTTTTAAGTTTCACATTTGGGCTGGCGTGCGTGGTCCTATCACAGTGATGCTAAAACCATAGATTTCTCTACTTTGACTACAGGTGATTTTCATTTCCACCAGGGAGAGGGGAGCAATGAGAAAACTCAGTTTATATGTAATGTAATTTAGGAAGTTGGGATGGCGAGTCCTCTTTTCCTTCTTAAACCTATTTGTGTTGTATGTGTTTTTTACTTCAAGGGAGACCCTGGGCCCAAAGGAAGACCAGGCCCTCAAGGAAAAGATGGACGTCCTGGCGAAAAGGTATAGCTGTAATTGTGATTTGGTAGCATTGTTTTGGCCTTCCCCTTTTATCACAGCTGTTAGTTGCCTGGAGGAGAGTCACTGGCTACCCCCGCTGTTTTTCCCCACTGCCCTTCCTCATGCCTCAAATAGGGACAGCCAGAGGTGGATCGTAAGCAGAATAGGGAGATAAAAGAGAAACTATTACCCACCATCACATGTGAAGCCAGCAGAGGAAGAGACTGGCTGGTATCACAGATTTTCCACCCCTCCTTCACTACACTGGGTAGAGCCCTAACCTCTCTTGAGCCTTCCTAGTTTCAAAATTGGCTGAGAAGTAGGCAGACTCAAATCCTCTGGGTAATTTGCCAGACTAGGAAGAGTGGGTTAGTTGATCAGACATGAAACATGAAATTGCAGTTTCTCTTGAGTTTTCCCTGGATTCTCAGGATTTTATATACCTATACTCTTGTGCATGTATTCTGTGCAGCCCAGATGGAGAGGACAAATGTTCTTTATAAAGGATTCTACAGGTATTCCTCGCCTCATATAACGTCTCTTTGAACTTACAACGGTTGAAAAAAACAGCTTTGCAACCAATATTCACATTTATAACCATCACAATGTCCCAGAGTCACACGATCGCCATTAGGGAGCTTAGCAACTGGCATGCATTTACAACAGTTGCAGTGACCTGCGGTCATGTGATCACCATTTGCGTGCTTCACAACCGGCTTCCAACAAGCAGAATTAATGGAGAATGTGGAAGTGAAACATGATGTCTCGCTTAGTGATTTACTTAACGATCAAAGCAGAAGTGAGGTCATAAGTCTATCACAGTGACATGATGTTTTGCTTAGCAACTGCTTAGTGATGGAGTTGCTGGTCCCAGTTGTGGTCGTAAAGGAAGGTCTTCCTGTATCTCTCTCATAAAATTGCAATAACAGGCCTGTTTCCTTCATCATTGAAGTAATGTTTGGTATAATCACAATTTCTTTTTAGAAAAACTATTATTCACACTTTGGCCTCTTCCACACTTCCACTTCTTTTGCTCCCCAAACAATCAGAAACAGTTTCATATTGTCATGTGATCATCAGCCAAAACACTGGGAACAGGGAGCAAAAAACATAAAACAATTACTGCTCCCACCAAGCTGCAGGAAGTTCTGGAGTAAAGGGAAAAGCTCTTTATCCCCATGTCATAGATGAGTAAAATAATTGCTATTCCATACATCCCCAACAATACACATCCTTAATTCATGTTATGTTTGTCTGGTTGCATTAAAAAAAAAATTGAGTACTTTGAAGCTAAGCAGCTATCGTTTCCCATCAAGGACCTGCTAGGGCAACCAAAGCTCAGGAACCAGCATTTGGGAATAAAACAAAAGGTCCCTCTAATGGGAAAATGGACTGCCAACTAGCTGCAAAGAGTCACCACATTTCAAAATATTATAAATTAAAACGTTAGTTTTGCTGCAGTTTCAGCTATACTGCAGCCAAGCAAAAACGGAATCATCTCAGCTCCCAATGCAGTTGATGTCATGGGATGAGAGAGATTCAGAGTTGCTTTTAAACTGGCAGAGAATCTTTGTAAAAAGATGCCTTTTGTTTATGAAAGGCAAGCTAGTAGATTTTGATTTTGAAGGACAATAATAACAATGAGGGAAATCTTGCTCTGACATCTCTATCCATTTCAGTTTAGATCACTTATGTTATCTGATTCACAGCTGCTATATGAATATTCAAAAACTCATTTTAAAATTATTTTTTCATGTCTTTTAGGGTCTGCCTGGAGAATTGGGAGCCAAAGGAGAAAAAGGAGAATGGGGAGATGAGGTACATGTTTAAAGAGTTTATGAGCCTGAAGAAGCAGGATTAAGTACATGACAATCCATTCCACTCTCTCTCTTTTTCTCTTGTAGGGAAGTCCTGGACCTGATGGTAGCCTTGGAGAGAAGGTAAGGCTACTGTTTTCAGTCATGTTTTTTATAGTTGGCATCAAAATTGGGAACAAAGAAACTGGTCTTCATTTAGCCTCTGGAGCTGAAATTCAATGGATTGATTCAAAGCTGTTCTTCTAATATTGACATGGAAGGGAATACAATCATTGCAAAGAGCTTTCCTCAAGTGTAAACAAAGTGAAGCCCATGAAAAGGTCTAGGAACTCCTCCCATCCTCAGCAAGTCCTCAGCATCCTTCCCAACTGGATTCTCAGGACCGGTTCTAACACAAAATTCCCCTTTGTCTTCTTCATGAGCAGAAATATATTTAAAAGCTCTCTGCCACACTTGAGTCAGGCCTGTCGTTGAATCTAGCGTGTAAAATCCGTGTTATGTTCTTTTACATGCAGGGTAGCCCTGGATCCCTAGGGTTGCGAGGTGTCCCTGGGGCTCGTGGACCAAAAGGAGAAAAGGTAAAATAGTTCACAAAATTCTTCACCCTGTGCCCTATAGTCTTCTATTCCTCATGGCAAACATACCCATTCTTGTTTTTCTTCTTAACACTTAATCTGCTTTCTTGTCATTCTTGGAACTCTCTTTGATTTGTTTCCATCCTGTTGAGAACTGGATACAATACTTGTGATGAAGTTTGATAGTATGATATGAAGTGGAATAATTGCTGTTCAGGACCTGAAAACCACATAGTCTTCTTTGCAGCTATATCACACTGTTGACATAGTCAGCCTCATACCTAATAATTTTTACAGATAGTGCTGCCAAGCTAGATATTTCCTGTATTTACATTTACATCTGTCCCCCTCCCCTTTCCAGTGGAGGGATTTGCCTTTGTCTCTGTTAATTTCATGTTCTTAATTTCAGACTACTTTTCTATCAAGATAACAATTGATTTCACTCTTATCCTTTAAAGTGTTAGCTATACTTTAGCATTACACAAAAACATTTGCCTCAAGAAAAGTGAAACCTATGGTCAAGCAAACTAATTTTCATTAGCAATATTTACAAGTAATTTAGAAGAAGCATGATACAGGTAGGCCTCACTTAACCACCGTTTATTTAATAATGGTTCAAAGTTATGATGGCCTTGGAAAAAGTGCTTTACGACCTGTACTCTCACTTACGACTGTCACAAACTGTTGCACCACCACCCCATGGTCATGATCACGATTTGTGACCTTTTTTACAACAGTCGTTAAGCGAATCATGTGGTTGTTACACGAATTCCAGCAAAAAAAGTCCATTGGGGAAGCTGAATTTGCTTAATGACCACGTGATTCACTTAACAGCTGCAGTGATTTGCTTAAAGGCTATTGTAAAAATGGTAAAATTGGGTGGTGACTTGCTTAACGACCACCCTGCTTAACAACCAATTTTCCAGTCCCTGTTGTGGTAGTTAAATGAGAACTACCTATATTAGTATTTTAAGTGAAAATTCAAACCATTTTTGCCTAAGGCCTGGTGATCTTTTTAGATAAATGTGTCCAGTTTAAGGGTAGTTAAATATTTCGAATAATGTCCAAACATGAGAAAAGACATTCTGAACTCTTAACTGCTTCTATTAAAGCTTGTTTTTGTGCTGAACTTCTTGTAGCTGGAGCTTGGACCCTGGAAGATATGCATGACTCAATGTAGAGTTTATGGACTGAATTCATGTATTGCTGCTGTATAAACTAAGAATAGCATAGTTGTACAGGAAAGGAAAGTAATGCCTCTTTTAATGAGAGAGTTGAGCTCCTCCCTATGAGCTGGGAGTGAGTAGGAAAAAATGCACTATGTGCAAACCAAACCATCCAAAAAGTACATGAGTAAAATTGGGCAGCTAGAAGAGTTCATCTGTCCAAAATCAATTTGGAAACAAGGAAGATTGTTAAAATGCTCTGATATATTGAGAAAAGTTAGTGCTGCAATGAAGATGAGGATGGTGCCAAAATGATGTGTTATAGTTTCAGCTTCCCTCTCACTGATGTTATCAGTACCTCCAGGAAGCAGGGATGAATAGACCTGTGTGTAACATGAACATTTATATATTACTTTATCTCAGAAGACTAAAAAGCACTTTTCCTAAAGTGAGCATTCTGAACCTATTTTGCTCTGCATATTAGGTAGAGAAATGCATCACAAAATTCAGAAAACGTATGCTTCTGAAGGGAATGTTTTAAAATTGTGGACCAGATTAGTTTATAATCAAATTCAATAAGAAATTTCTCAAGCATCCTATAACCAGAAAATAGACATTTTATGTATCAAAGTTATGTCTTCAGCAAATTTATAATGCCTCTTTTGAAACTTTATGCCCCTCCTTCTGTACACACACTGATCCCAAGTACAAATTCATAATACACGACTCCTCTTCTGTCTCTAACCAGGCAGGATCTGACAAGGCCCTGAGCCAATGGGAACTATTGGGGCTTTCCACAGCGCAATGAGTATCAGAGGTGACCCTGAGAAGCCTATAGCTAGACAGCTACCCCACTGATTAGTCTCATAGAAGCCCACCATGATCAGTCAATATTAAAAAATAAATGAAACCAATGAAGGGGGGGCAGGACCACAGGAATTCATTTTTGATTATGCCCCCCCCCAATATATTCCATTTCCCCTTAAACGATCTACATCCTGGTATTATTATGGTTGGCCACACAGTCAGCCAGATGTTTAGACTGGATTTGGCATTTTTATCCACTGATCGAGTCCTTCCCAAAAAACTGAGATAGGCAGATGTTGTTTGATGGTGTTAAAAGTATCGTTGCAGGGTGTAAGCTGTTCCAAGTAAAGCTGCCTTTTGCAATTGACTGATGGTGTATTATCGATGTTGTTGTTATTATTTCTTTTGCTGTTTCTGCTGGAAAGAAATAATTGTGTTTCTGTGTAGGTTTCCATGGATAAGAGTGGGTTTTGTGTGAGAGACGGAGTAATTGTTATATGCAAATGGGCGATCAAGTTTATAAATTATGTATGTTATTTTACAGATAGGTGATATAATTGATTGATTGATTATGTGCCATCAAATCATTTTCGACTCCTAGGGACCACGTAGATAGATAAATTTTCTCCACGACAATATGTCCCTAACTTACTTCTACAGGTCCTCCAATAGCACCCCCATCGCCACTGTAACTGAGTCCATCTACCTTGCTGCTGGGCGTCCTCTTCTTCTCTTTCTTTCCACCTTTCTCAGAATTAGAGCCTTCTCTAGGGAACTAGGTCTTCAAATATGTCTGAAGTGGAATAATTTGAGCCTGGTCATTTGTGTCTTGAGTGAGAACTCCGTGTTGATTTGTTCGATGATCCATTGGTTTGTTTTCTTGGCTGTCTCCGGTATTCTCAGGAGTCTTCTCCAACACCAAAATTCAAAATTGTCAATACTCTTTCTGTCCTGCTTCTTCAAAATCCAACTTTCACTTCCATAGGGTGTCACAGGGAATACCTATACAATTAATATAGATTTATTCTTTGTCCTGCCCTGTTCTTTTTTGTTGGATCCTGGCAGTTATAAATACATTCATAAGCCAGTATGCCTCACAAAGACATGTTTATTGGGGCAGGGGACAGGATTGATTTTGGCTGTAGTTGATAACCCTAGATTGTCAAAGTAAATGAGCTGGGCATTGCACACCAAAAATTTTGGTTTTTTTCTCCTTTTTACTATTTGCTCTTCCTTGATAAGAGAACTTGAATATAGGATTGTCTTCCTTTTGGATAAATTTGAAATATGGAATGGTGGAATTTCCTGTTGTAACTGGAAACAGTTTTGCTGTGGCCGCTGAAAGTATTGGAATGGAACCCATATATGACTCCAAAGCCATAAATCTCCCTGCTATGTTACAGAGGCATTTAAGGAGGAAAGTATATGTGTCATCTAAGTTGGAGTTTCCTGTTTATATCTGATGTTTTCTCAAACAAAAGTGCAACTGTACTTGGGAAGCAGATGTGGACAGATGTTCTATGCAACTAATTCCAAAAGATTACATTCCATGATTCTGTATCTCTTTGCTGTCATCTAGTGGTTGTCTGGAGTTTTGCAGCCCTAAGAAGTAGATGTTTATGGTTCCAAAGAACAAGTTAGGATTATTGAGGAAATGGCATGTGATGATTGAAATTCTGCATCTCTGAGCTTTCTGTCCTCATGGTGGGAAAAAAAAGAGAGAAAGGAAGTTCTTGTTTTCTGGGAAGCATGCTGAAGGGGACCAGTTAAGGGAAACCAAAACAGAGACAAACAGGGAAATATAGAGGAGCCCCTTGTTTGTCATTTCTGTTCCTGATTCCCCTAAATGGTCAATAGGACCAATCTCTATGAAGATTCAATGATGTTGGAGCTGCACGTTTAAGAGAGGCATGTAGAGAGACAAAAGAACTAGGCACCTCTTATGTCACCTGCTGTAGCATTCTTTTTTATGGCCTCCATTTCGTTGGAGAGCATATACTGTAGTACACTGAAGGCACAATTTCATCAAGGACAATTGTTCCCACTGTAGAGTAAGCACCTAACAAGGAACTCTTCCTATTATATAAAGTCTCCCTCTTTTGAGATTCCTCCCCACAGTTCTTCCAGTTTCCAAAGCTTTGCTTATCCCTTTCACACATATGTCAGTACTTTACCCTCCTTTAAATTCTGTGTGACACTCCACTGCCTTTCACAGTATTTCAAATAAATCCTTTCAAGTTTCTTTTCATATTGCAAATAAACCTTGACAGTTTTGCTTTGAACAAAACTTAACAAATTCATTTCCCTGTATGTGAATGTTACTAGAAGAAGAAAAGATTAGAGCTTCTGTCTAACATAATATCCAGCCTGTGTAGGAATATAGTTCCAGTTACTCATTAGACCTAATTACAGCATATTCCACCCTTTTCTCCAAGGTGGAATGCTCAACCACTTCCTTCCTGTTTTATGTAGGGAATAATTGTGGATGTTAAGTCAAACAAAAAATATGATTGTCCATAAAGTTAGTATGATATTCAATGGGGACTTGAATCTGGATTTTCCAGGCCTGTGTTGATATTCTAGCTGCTGCTTGATGCTGGCTCTCAGTTAAGAACATGCTACTGTCAATAGAGCAAAGGTTAACAAATAATCAAATACATGGATTTTGTATGTACAATGAAACAAACAAACCGTTATTCTGGGAAGTACAGTATATCTGTTTCAGACTCAGATTATAGAATAATGATTATATAACCATTATTATTATATAATTCTGTATAATTATAGAATAGATGTAGATACAGAATAGAAAGGATTCTTGATCTATCTCATTCCAAATTCATAAGGCAGAGACATTTTCTAATTCCTCACATGACCAAGTATTCTGTGTATATCAACTCTGAGCACAGAGGAGGAAGGAGGGCTGCCAGACAAGTAATTGTGGTATATCCCTGCCCTACTACATTTATTTCTCAAATGAATAAAACATTTTTCTCCACAAGTCCCTGGACTAATCTGGCCCTGACCACTCTCATATTTCTGCTTCTCAGAAAATGTGATGACAAGCAGCAGTCTCTCCTCCTGGCCCACGCTCCACTGCACCCTTCGCTAGTGCTCTCACAGTCTGGGTTCCCACAAACTCCCTCTGTTTCCCAAGACCTCTTAATTAAGATTAGGTAATGCAATAATGCCCCTCAGTATGCTGCTGTGCTAGACACATCATTATTCTGGCTTCTTGCCCTTCTGTGGTGTTACTGTCCCGTGAGCGCAGCATACTTTGACAGTCTGTAGAAAGAAAGTGCTGCCCAGTGATAACATCTGAAACAATAGAGAGTTTGCTCACTGCTGGTTCTTTGAGACAGTGATGTTCGCTTGCCACTGATGGAGTCGGAGCCTCAGAGAGTGAGTGGCGTCCCTGACTGAGGATGACAAGAATGCAAGCCTCCCACAGGAGACAAAGCAAAGAGAATGGCTAGAGGTGCCACAGCCCAGCTGCCTGTTTCATTTGCACGTAGCTTTTTTGCATTCCCGCCAGGCCATCAATCAGCTCATGAGGCAAAAGAGGGTGTATATGGAAGGCTTATGTGAGTAAGTGTCTTACTCTGGCCACTCTCATGGTTGTTTTGCCCTTAATCCCATTTGAGACATTTACTTCTTAGTAGTCTTTATTTTACAAGCAAATTGGCAGGACAGTTGGAAATAGTTTGCTTTCTGGACAGTATAGTACAATGGATCCTACATATATTTATGCCAGAAATCCAATAGCTCCATTGAGGATTCTGAGCAGGATGTGAATTTTTTAAAAGTGACCTTTTTAAGTAGATAATCCATAACTTTTAAGATTATCTCGGCCTTTGATAGTTTTTGCTCGATATTGTTTTCATCTATTGATCACAGGGAAAATATGGTAGAGTTCAATATATTAGAACACACATGATTCAGCTCTCCAGATGTTATATTTCCTTTTCTGCTTTTCTACTTAATCTACTCTGCAAGCATTTCCTCATTTATTTTCCTCTTGTTTTAGGGTGAGCCAGGTCCAGTGGGAGAACAAGGCCGTGAAGGACTTTTTGGACCACCAGGAGACCCAGTAAGATGCTCTCAATTCTTTTGCATCCCAGATGTCTCAACTGGGCAGAGGGAGAATGTAAACCAATGAGTGGAAAGGAAGAAAGTATCAGACAAGGCCCCTGCTTTGTACTGACTCAAGTTTCAGAGTAGTCAACCCTCTTGTAGCTGAGGACTCCCTTTTTAAAAACCTGGGACAGGGGGGTTACCAGAAAGGACTTGGCAGTAGTTACAGTATGTGGGGACTTCAAAAGAAAATGCAAGGGTCAAAAGCTCAGCCTGTCTTCCTTCTGATTAATTCTTTTAATTTGAAAGGTATAATGTATTTAAGTTTATATTGGAAGCTTAATACATCTAGTGTACTGCTTATTTCTATTTTAAAGTATCTGAAACCACATATGCTGGCCAAGGGACACCCATCCCTGCATAGCACGTGGTATCATGTTTCCTACTCAAGGCTTCTCTACGTGGCATCTCATCCTACGCTGAAACTGGAAATTACATTAAGGAATAGCTTTTCAAGCCCCTCATTGTAGTGCTGTGCAACATATATGTATTTAGAACATTTCAGCAAAATCTAATTTTCCCACAGCAGGAAGCAATCATTGTAATCAGTGTTCATGGCAGTAATATACACAGTCCTATAATCAATGAAGACAGTCAAATAAGACTTGATTCTTGCTCATAATGTGAGGATTTTGCATCCTGATATCATATATTACCAAGAACAGATGGTACTGCTATGAAGTTTACACTGGGTAAGAAAACCCACATGATTAATGAGTTCCTCTTATGTTTTCTAATATAGGACCAAGCATACAAGTTGCAGTAGATACTACTATACATTGTTCCTTTTGCTTTAATATTTTCCACTTATTTCCCTGTGTATTCCAGCTATGGAGGAAAAGTGTCCTTCACCAGACCTAGGACATTTCCATCCCATAATGCTACAAAGTGGGGCCCCTTGCTCTGTTCTGTTGGTCCAGTTTGTAGTTGTAACAAGTGCTGTTAAAATGAAATGCAGATGTTCTGTGCCAAAATGGCAAATTGAAAACAGCAGCTAGGATAAGAACTTGCATAAATCCCATTTTGGAACTTCCCTAGCAACCAGTGGCTTGTCCTGCTATGAGAGCCTCTGTTTTTTTCTGTATAAAACTGAACATTCTGCATCAAAGCGGCTGAGCGAGAGTTTCTCAAGACATTAGGGCAATAGGCTCCTTAAAAACAGAAGGAAAAAGGATACCACGCTTGTTCTAAGCAGGATACAAAATGGTCATGAATCACACCTTCAAACTCAGGATTCAGATGAATGAGATGGAAAGAAAAACAAACTATCAAATAAATTGGCATTGGTAAAATAATAAAAACTGATACCTCTTTTAGGAAAAACAAATTCCCGGCTATACAAGTGGGAATAGGAAGTTCTTGAGACTATTTATTTTGGTTCTTAGGCCGTTACTTTAGAGAGTTTGAAAGCTAAACCCTGACAAGTTATCTGATAATCCTGCATATCCTAGACTAGAATATTTTCAGCACAATTGCATGGAATAGTTTCCCTGATGTTTGCTGTCTTTGCTGTTTGTTCTAAATGACAAGGATGAAAATGTGCTTCAAATAAAGGAATAAGTCATACTCGTCCTAACAATAGTCTTTCTATGGGGAAGCTTTAACTGCTGTCCCAAAATGTTTTGAAATGTTCGCTGGTGACCTCCATTTCTAAAGTACTCCAAGGTCAGGCTTCTGCATTCTCCTTGCTGTGCAAGTGTATTTGAAACTAGAGCTTACCTCATGCTAATGGATTCTCATTTTTAAAATGCAGTGAAAGTTTTGAAATCTAACCTGCCTAATATATATGTGTGTGTGCACTGTGCATGTATATGTGCATATATATATCCCCCAGTGTTTGTGCTGGAACTGGCCAAGGGCAGTTTACCCGAGGCAAAGAGGGTGGGTCTGAACTTGTTGTTTTGTAAAGTTTTACTCCTAATCTGATACCCCAGAGCTCCAGCGTTCTGCAAACAGCAACACCGTAGGAGCCATGCCAGAAAAGAAAAAAGTTTCATTGTTTACGAGCAACAACACAGTGGGAAGGAAGAAAAGGGACGAGTACTGTATTGGATATAGTCACTGACACATCTGCCTTCAGAGTGAACATTTGCAAGCAAATCCACACTGGTTACTTCCATTACAACATGTTCAGAAGGGGGAAGGGAGCAAGGCCCATCGTTTTATCATTTGTTTTACCTCACCGTAGCTGAGTCTCTCATACTAAGCAGTTGTGCGGCTATACTTTGTGACCTATGTTGGCAAACTGACAAACCCTAATCCACTGTGTTAATATTACACTTTTGCTTCAGTCCTCAGCTATCAACTGTACTACACATTAAAGAAAGGGCATATGACAACTCATCTTTAGCAGAAACGGTATCAAATAATTTGCCTTAAATTTGCCATAAATACTTCTTAACATTTTGCAGTCATTGTTGCAAAATTCATTATCTTCCATTCCAAAACAGTTACAGGAACTTTAAAAAAAGATTGTAAAATGTAATGAAAAACTCATAGTGAATTTTATTTGGTGTCCATCATTCACATACAAAATACTGTATAAGCAATATCAGGGGATGGACTTTCTTAACTTACCTGGCAGATTGTTAGCCTTTTAATTTGGGACAAATCAGGGCAACTGTCAGGCCTAGCCCAAGGAACTCCTGAAGACCATGCAGGTTCAATCAGCAAGGTTTATTAGCTAGCGCTTGATTACAGAATCTTCTCAGACTGACCAGTAGTTCCCAGGCACACGTCTCTAGAATGTTTAGGGATGCGCCAGCTTTCTCCGCCTATCTCCAGAGTGTTGCTCTGGAGACGAGAGCACCATTTTCACCTCCCTTCCTCCATTCCAGTCCATCACAGTAACATATGATTTACCTTGGAGTTTCCAGAGCTAAAATGTTGGCATGAGTTATCAACAATAAGGGATTATAAAATTAAAGGTTTATTTGCTTGCAAAATATTTTCAGAAAGAATAATATATAAAAATTCTCTGCCTTCTATAATATGTACAATATATTATTGATTGATACTAACTGATACTAACTGATTATTGATACTAACAAAGTATAAGCAACTTGAGGCCTCCTAAGGCCTAAATCCCTTCCTAGGTCTGCCCACTTCCAACTGGAAGGGAGGGAGGGAGAGAGGGAGAGCGGAAGGGGAATATGAAATGAACAGCAGCTTCAGCAAGCTCCCTTTAGATCATTTTGTGAGATTGCAGGACAAGATTTGTGCTTTCTGCAAAACTAGTTGGTTCTGGCCATATATTAAGAAAGATGAAACCACTGAACTAACATTTTTCTTCTAGGGTAAAGAAGGTGCACCTGGACCTAAGGGATTTCGAGGAGATGAAGGACCTCCTGGACCAGAGGTTAGTGTCTATGTTGGGGAGCATCCCATATCTCACTGAATGAAAATGTCATACATTTCACAGATCAGCAGTGTTACAGGATACATATAGATGTCCACTAAAAACAAGGAAACATTGTGTGAATTTATGCATTTAGAATATTTTTTAAAAATAACAGTATTTTACTACTGGCTGCTGTAATTATGTTCATATTGGAAAACAAGTAATAAACTCTGCAAAAAATAAGTAAGAATGAAAAAAGTTGGCACTCTCTTAGAATATTTCAGGATTTCACATTTAACGTCCTTCAGTGTATCAGGCTTGTTTTAAGAGAGGAAAGCAATGTAATGTAAATCTATACAAAATTTAATTGAAAAAGAGTCTGCGGTATCTTAAAGATAGAGTGATATATTGTTAGACTCTTAAGATACTACAGTATAGTTTTTGCCACAGCCTAATGTAGCTACCCCTCTGAAAATGAATTGCAGTTGTCTGTCATTTGGTCTAAATTAACACTAAATGTAGCTGTTTCCCTTTTTACTTTATAGGGCCGTAAAGGGTCGGTTGGACCACCTGGAATAACTGGAAACCCTGGGTTGATGGGTGATAGGGTGAGTGATTGATACCTGATATTTATGATATTTATGATATTCAGATTTATGATAAATCTGAGTTTGGCTGGTGCTCCCAATGTGTTTATTTCCAGGAAGACAGTCCTGGCCATAGTCATGCATGGTTGAGCTTCATGGAAACTGGAATGCTGTTATAGGTGGAGTTGCCTTTGAAAACCATCCAGACATTGCCACCATTGTAGAAGGCAGCAGTGAAGCTGCTATCAGGACTAGTTTTGTGGAACCAGGAAGGCTAGACAATTGTTTCCTATTGCATGATCTTGCTGCCACTGGGAGGGATTCTCTTGAGTATTTTCTCCCCATCCAAATCAGGGTTAGTAGAAGGAGTTTTCTCAGTTCTGGCATCCATCTTTAGAAACTCCCTGTTTTGAAAGAGCAAAATACCCCATTTTCTGATGGCATATCCTTGGATTCCAAAAGTATTTTTAATTATCATGGAACCACTGAATTCAACGGAGTCATTTAAGCCTCAAGCCAGTCTTTAAATCCTTAAATTCCTTAGGGTCATAGCTACCTTTGTCTTATGATCATACAACCCTAGAATTGGAAGGGGCACTGAGGCCATCAATTCCAACCCCTTGCTTAGTGCACGAATCCAAATTAAAGCATCCTGAACAGATGGTTCCCTGGTGCTCTGGAATGAAAGAAATAGGTACTGATCTTCAAGTCGATTCTCCTATGTACTGAAGAATGGTGTTGTTCCCCCACCCATCCACTCACCCAGTCTTCGCAAGGCTAAACATTCCCAGTGCTTTAATTCTCTCTCCAGAGGGCTTAGTTTTTAGCCCCTGATTGTCCTCATTGTGTTTCTCTAATTTATTCCTGTTGGTCTAAATCCTTCTTAAATGCACTGCCCAAAACTGGACACAGTGGTCAAAATGGGGTATGGCCAATGTAGAATAAAGAGTAATTCATCCATTCGTGTGATTTGGAAACTAATACTTCTGTTGATGCAGTCTAAAATTGCATTTTTTAATAGCCACATTACATTACTGATTCATACTCAGTTTGTAATAACTACTATCCAGTATTTTTTTTCATAAACATAGTTACCAAGCCAAGTATCTGTGTATTCTTTACATATGATTTTCAAGCCAGCTAAAATTATAGCTTAATTTTCAGGTAAATCAGCCCACAATTAACTAGCTTCCTAATCAAGATGTCATGGGGAAATTACTTTCCTGAAATCAAGATACAGTAGAGTTATGGAATTCCCACAATTTATTAAGGAAATCAGTCTCAGTCTCAGTCTCAGTCCCAGTCCCAGTCCCTCTCTCTCTCTCTCTCTCTCTCTCTCTCTCTCTCTCTCTCTCTCTCTCTCTCTCTCTCTCTCTCTCTCTCTCTCTCTCTCTCTCTCTCTCTCTCTCTCTCTCTCTCTCTCTCTCTCTCTCTCTCTCTCTCTCTCTCTCTCTCTCTCTCTCTCTCTCTCTCTCTCTCTCTCTCTCTCTCTCTCTCTCTCTCTCTCTCTCTCTCTCTCTCTCTCTCTCTCTCTCTCTCTCTCTCTCTCTCTCTCTCTCTCTCTCTCTCTCCCTCTCTCCCCCTCTTTCCCTTTCCCTTTCCGCCACCCCTTCACACACACACACACACACACACACACAAAACATGAAGTTAAGTTAGTCTGGCAAGGCTATTCTTGAATCTTCCCAGATATGGATGTCAGACTGACTGGTTTGTAGTCCTCCAGGTCCCTTTTTTTGGACATAGGAACAAAATTTGCCCTGCTGTTGTTTTGCACTTTACCAGTTCTCCCAAAATTCTTGAAGACAGTACATAAAGTTTTGCCAGATGATACTTCAGTATCCTAGGATGCAATTCATTTGGTCCTGAAGATCTAAAGCAATCCAAAGTACATACCTGTTCCCTGTTCCTACCAATCTCAAGCTTCAACCCTAACTCTTCCTTCTGCTCTTCCCAATTGTTTAGTAAAACTCATACCACACAGCTGTGCCAAGATAAGAATTCAGATGCTCTGTCTTTCCTTTGTTATCCAAGGCATCTTGCAGCTGGTATATTAACTATTTTCTCTTTTAGTATGAACATACCTAAATAAGGTTTGTTTGTTGTCCTCTGCTTATTCTCAGCTTTAGTTTTCATGGCATCATTCTCTGTAATTTTCAGATCTTAGCTAAGTTTTTTGTGCTACCAACCTGTCTCTTGCGCTATCTTCCATTTCCCTCCTTTTGGAATAGTATGTTATAGTACCTCATGGACACTGATCTCATTTTCTTTTCCTGCTATGGAATCCTGTTTATCATTGCTTTCAGTTCATTGCAATCTACCCTTTTTAGGCCAAGATATATGTTTAAGTATAGTCAGTTTTAATTTCCTATAAATGAAGAACCTGATCAATATGTGGTCCCTTCCCTCAAATATTCCTACTACTTCCACTTCTTTGACTAAATTCATGCCATTGGTTTATATTAAATCAAGGACCGCTGAAATTCTTGTTCCTCCCCCCATCTTTCTGGAAGAAGACTTCATCAAGAAAATAAGTT